CACACACACACACACACACACACACACACACACACACACACACACACACACACACACACACACACACACACACACGCATACACACACACACCGACACGCGCACACATGCACACATGCGCAAACACACACACGCATGCGACTGCATGCACGCTCTGTGGTGCCGCTCTTCCAGGGTGATGACCTTGAAGCTCTCGGCGAAGGACACGGTCAGCGAGTACTCACCCTTCGTGACAGGTTTTCTGCCGTACGACACAGGGCTGGGCACGGGCCCCGCCATAAAGTCGAATGGCACATGGAACGGTAAGTGAGGCGCCGCAAAAGTCGCTGCTGCCCTTGCTGCGCTTGCAGCTATCATTTACTGCAGCTCCATGTGCGTACACCTGCTCGTGTGGAGATTGCATCCCCATCACCACCACTCCAACAGTACGATGCACACCGCAGTTTAATCCCTCCACTCCAGGCCGCCCCGTGGATGTTGAGCAGCTGCCAGACGGCTCCATTCTAATCAGCGACGACAACGCCAACAAAGTCTGGCGTGTCGTTTACTGCTCGGGCGTCTCCCGCGCCTTCAGCGGCGGCAGCGCCGATTACGGGGTGGGCCGCTGCGGCGGCTACTCCCGCGGGACGGGGCCCGTGCGGGCATCCAATGCCAAGATGCCGGCGGCCAAGGCCGTCACATCGTGCAGCGTGCGGACTTCGGACGACGGCTCCACGCCGCCAATTTTGTACAGCAAATGCGCCAGGGTCGACTTCTCAAATGGTGGGTTGTAGGACTCGTCCGGCGCCCTCGCTCAGCGGCACCTTGTGTCGGCTCCAAGATGCTTGGCAGCACAATGGGTTGGCATGGCCTTGGGCTTGGTAAGCCCCTGTCGCCCTCACTCACCCTGTGCCGGCCCCAAGCCTGACATGTCCATCGGCACAGTGTGCTCGCCCGCAAGGCACCCCACACGCACCGCCCACTCCTCACTCACCGCCGTTCCTCAATACTGTAGGCCGCGGCATGTTTGCGACCGTGGCCTGGACTTTCAAAAGCGTCCCCGGTGACGCCTCCAAGATCCGCTTCTCGTCAGCTGTCATCTTCGATGACTTTGACAGCGTCATGGGCACCAGCTGGCTGGCGCACGGCCTGCCATCCACGTAGGTTTGCTTGTTGCACCAAGTCGCAGGAGGCAGATGACCAGCATGACAGGGCGTGCAAGAAAATGATATGGAAGCTTGTGCGTGTGCGTGTTCGGCGCTAGCAGGGGTCTTTTGCGTAGATGCCGCGACAGGTAGGTACCCGCGGTGCCTCGCACGCCCTGCGCCTGCACGCGTCACCCTCACCCCCAAGAACCCACCCCACCCGACCTGTTGTCACCGTTACCGCGTCCCTCCCCACAGCACCTCAAAGGCCTTTTTGATGACGGGCGCCAGCGTGGTTATCTCAAAGCAGGTGGACTTTAGCACCGCCTCGATCCTGGACCAGCAGCTCGGCCAACCGGGCGGGAATTGCCACGATTTGTCGTGCTTCACGTCCACAAAGGAGGTGCGTGCGCCAACTCACATCTGACAGGCCGCTATGCCTGTTGAGGCCAGTGGTGGGCGCTCTGCTTGCCTTTCCGGCCGGCTGCCAGTGCCGCCCACCGCCCTGTCTGACCCCGATGCTGAGTAAGTTTCCAATCATGTGGCGAGTCACCGTCCCCAGCCCTTTTTATACTGCAACGCTCCCAACCGACCAACAGGGTACTTTTTTTGACAAGGCAAACACTGTCAAGGCCCATATGGCAGGCGGCTCCCTGGTGCAGCGCGCAGAGTTCCTGGTGGGAATTGATGCCCTCAAGACCTGGGGCAACAAGATACCCTTGATGGTTGCATTGGTAAGGGTCGCCTCCGTCCCTTCCCTTGCATGTGCTCTTGGCGTGAACGCCGTGACATTCAGCACGATCATCTCCTCGCAGTTGCAGTGACACCGGATGGCTGGCCTTCATCCACACGTGCGCGTGTTGGCAGCCCTCCAGGCCCTCATGAGCGGCCCTGGGCACCACCAACACTGCACCCACATGCTGCACCCCTGTAGGGCGACTCTGACCCAAGCACTGGCAGCCTCAAGCGCCACTGGCTCATCCCCAGCTTCAAGATCTCCTACACGTCCACTGATCTGGACCCCACCATCTCAACTGACCGCGTGGCCAACGCCCGCACCGTCACCAAGCCGGCAGGCGGCGGCGGCGCTCAGACCGCGCCCTTCCCGAAGGCTGCTGGCGGCTGCACTGTCAATGGCGTCAATTATACATACTGCGCAGACTTTACAGTACCGGGTGAGCGGGGCAGATCAGAGGCCCATTGACGTCCCCTAGCGATGGGCCCTCGGACAGGGAGGCGGCTTGATGATGGCGCCACTCAACCCCCTAGCTGCTGATGTGCATGCAGCGGCTTCCGCCTGTCGAGGGCGCACATAGCTGGTGATGTACGCCGTCCAGGCGGCTGGCTCACAACGTCACCCCTCCCAATCCCCACTCCATGCTGAACCCCTCTGCCCCTTGCCTTCGTTCGCTCCGTTCTGCTGCGCCTTGCTAAACCCCCGCTCCAGGCCCCAACGGCAATGTGCCGGTGACTCACTACTACAAGACCTCTGGCAGCTCTGTGGACGTGGCGCTCAAGTGGGTCGACTGGGGACGCCCCACAATCCAAAGGGCATCTGCTTTCCTTGCTTCAAATGGCCGATAATTGTCCAAGCCCAGCCTGGCACTGCAGGCAGCTGTTGAAGCCTGGGCTTGAGCGCGAATGTCGGTGGCGGTGCTGTGGCAACGCGCATCCAATCACGGAGCCATGTTCATCCCAGCCACTTGACCCACATCTTTGCGCACCTCACATACAAGGTGCATGTCTGCTTTTTGCCGTACATGGCGTCACTTTGCTCTGCCACCCCCAACCACGCTTTGCCAGGATGACGACTGCATCCTCGGTGTGGCTAGGGTGGCACCACAACTCCGATTCGCCGACAATAATGGCCAACTCAAATGGCAACGCCAACGCGGTGATCCTCGCGCCCAGCGGCGGCCCCGGCGCGACGCCCCAGGCCGCGGCCAGGAAGATCCTGAGTGAGCTTCGTGTTCAAGAAGGGGGCTTAGCAGCTGCATGCCTGCACTGATGATCGTCAATTGCGACGTGCCAATCATCATCAGCAGCTGTGCCTGCTGCTCTGCTGTGCTGATAGCCCTACTTCAACGGCCGCAATCCAACTTCTGTCTGCCTTGTCCCTCGTCGTGCCCGCGACCCCTTGCTCCCCCCTTCGGCCCACAGCCTATATCCAGACCGATTGGACAGTCTCGACGTTCTTCAGCAATGCAGTCGCCCAGGCCCTCCCTGGAGGAGACTACCTGCTGACCTTCTCGTTCACCTACCCTGCTGGACAAACCAGCATCATGGTGAGCACGTGCAGTGGCGTCTGCTTTGCGTGCAAGCGTGCAAACGTGCAAATATGCTGCCAATTACACACCAGCGCGCGCGTGTTGCTGCGCACCCTGCGTTGAACGTAAACTTGCGCACTTGGCATGTGCACGCACTGTGCAAGTCGTCGGTTTGGGGCACACGCCTTGTTGCACTGCCACCCAAAATCGCCTCTGGTCCTTGTTGTCCTGTCAGGTCCACAACGGCATCGGCTCATGGACACCCCTGTCTTCAGGCTTTGTAGGCGGCATGACAAAACACGCGGCCACGCCGCCGGCTCTGTGCGTCCGCGCCAACGGCCAGATCGCCCCTGTCAACTCATGCGGGTCCTGCGACTAGTGGGGGGGCGCGAAAATCAGCGTGCGCCCTCCCAGGGCCTTTGAGCATGTTTCAAGCACATGCACTCGACGGCGTGCGGCGGGGGTTTTTGAGCACCGCGTTAAGCAGTCAAACTGGTGCCTCTAACTCGGAACGGCGAATGTATTGCTGGGTTTTGGGTGTTCCCTGCTCAGGCCTGACAGGCAACTGCCGCCTCTCATACTTGTTGCACCTTGCAAAACAATTTTGCCTGATTATCGCGCCGGGGATACAGTCCCCAGGGCCATGTATGTGGGAGGGTTGCTTGCCCGTTGATGATGAAGGTGAATAGGCCCAAGCATGGTCGCAATATCTCACACTCCCACGAGGATGCATAGCGCCGCACACAACGATGCATCCCGACGCCAAGCTGCACTCGCCATCCCGGTCCCACCAAAGAATACATACCACACAGATACTTGTTCAAACCTGGCAATTGGCAATTAGCAGTTGCCGCGTCTTTGCGCTCCTTATTGGCTGCTAATATTCACCTGTTTGTTCTGCTTGTTATGTTGCTCCCGCCCAAATGTACCATGCATGAGAGTTCACACATACTGATGGTGTCATGCTCAAAAGGTCCTCACGCACATCCGGCAGCAGGCCCTGTAACAAGCAATCACTGATGTAGAATTTGGGTGCCCAATCTGCCCGGAGAGGGCATCATCGATGGAGAGGGCTGCTACAGGGAAGCGATTTCTCAAAGGTGTCGTGGCTTCAGATACTAGCCTCAGGGACCCACTAGCTGTGGCATGTGTGCAGCAACCCCTGTCACGAATGCGGTGTCAGCATTGCAAGCAGCAGTGACGGCTGTCAGACGTGCGGTGGCGCCATCACATTTTGTTGTGAGAATTCTTGACCTGTTGACCATGCCAGATGGACAAATGAACAGAGTTGAAACATCGCTTTGGTTTTTGATACCTGAAATTTTTTCGAATTGCATGCGCCCACTAGGCTAGGTGCACTGACCGAGGCTGCCGGGCCACGCACGGCAGATTTCATGCCCGGGTGACACTACACTCTGACAGCGGTGTGAGCAGCCAAGCCGTGAAGGCTCGGCATTTTGTTCGTTTCCGCGACAGTCGTGGGCTGGGTCACCAAGTCACTGATACCGAGAGTCTTGAGATCACCCTGGTGGTCTGACATCAATTTGGTACTATTGAGGGCGCTGATACAGGCCCGCCAGACACGAGATCGACAATGGCGCCCTGGCGTCTTGACGGCCTGGTGGAGGACCGGGTCGCCCGCTGCCGCGCACAGCTGCAGGAGCGCGTCGGCCCAAACGCTGGGTCTGCGGACATGCAGGTGTATGTGGAATATGCAGACCTCATCGTGGCGCTGCACCGCACTGCACTGGACGACGACGGGCGGCCACGCCAGCGGCTCTCTCCTGGCATGAAGCTGCAGGCAAGGACGCCCCACTGTGACCCGGCAGCGCCGCGCGGGCTGCTGCCAAGTGCCCCCCGCGCGCCACGCAATCCAGGGGTTGGTTGGTTTTGGGTTGTCAAGGTGCATCAGAGCCGCCTCGGCGCCTGTTGACAGCCAGATTGCGGGTGCACGCTGGCTGGCCCATGCCACCAGAGGCCGGGAGGTAGCCCACAAGACCAGTCCCCGGCCGGCTCACGCCTGACACTGATCTCTTCGCCCACCCCCCCGGACCCCTGCCCCATCGGGCAACAGTTGGCGACGCTGTTCGTTCTCGCGCTGTCGAAGCACCCGCTGGTGTCGCTTGGGATCGAGCCAGTGGCGGATAGGGTGCTAATCGATGCGGTGCGCATACGAATGCCAGCAGACGTGTGGGTGCAGGCGCGTGCGCCACATGCGAACAGTTTTCATTGCACCCTCATGCAACCGTATATAAACTGTCACCTGACATGCACTGGGGGCGTTTGGTGCACTCTCAGCGACGTACTGTATGCACAATGGCATGGCAGCGCCTTCAAGTGTCGAGCAGCGGTTAGCCGGCGGATACCATGGCGCGGGCGTTGCTGTGCAGCAAGGCAGGATTCTCTGCAAATCTATTGAGGCGCAACGTCTACCGAGGATCGATGCCAGGTGCCCTGACAACCAGCTGTCAAGGGCCTGTAAGACAACTCTGCGCACTCGTCACGCTGAATGGCTCGCATCCCCCTGACCCATCTGCCCCCTGCAACCTGCAGCTGCATTCGCTGCCGCCGGACCCGGTTTGGGACCCTATACGCTTGGGCGCAGAGCTGTCCGGGAGCAGCCCGTTGCTTTCGCCGCTGCAGAGCTTCCAGGCGAAACGGGCCGCGATGGCGCGCCTGCAGGCGCTGCTCGATGCGGACCCTTCAGACTCGCTCCCAGCGCGACTCACCGCAGCCGGCAGCGCGCACACGATCGACGCGGCGACCCTGCGCCGGGCTGGGCTGTACAGAGTGGTCAAGGCGGCACTCGCCGCGGTCGAGGCCACCGGCCCCGCCCCGGGGCGCCCGCCGCCGCCGGGTGTGCTGCGGGGCGGTCGCGAGGCGGCGGCGGCGCTGGTGGCCCTCGCGCCGCGGTGGCCGCGCTACCTGCTGCTGCAGGCGGAGGTGGAGGTGGCGGCTGGCGACTGGGGCGCCGCCATGCGTATTTTTCGCGCCGCGGGGGACGCCGCGAAGCAGCAGAACGGTGAGGGGCTCATGCGTGCGCCTTTGAGATCCGGCTGCGACTTGGACTCTGCCTGGGGGGCCGCACGGGCGGGCCGCAAGAGCCCACCCGCCCCAGGCTTCAGCGCGGCAAGACGCCAGCGCGGGCAGGCTTCGGCCCCGCCAGGACTCAGGCTCCCAGCATCCTAACTGCCTCACTCGCTCGTGGCCACGGCCCCACCAACGCGCCCGCTGCCTCTTCCCAAACCGACTCGCACGAGACCCGCACTCGGGCCAACACTGCCCACCACCCCCGCAGCGCACTACTGGGCAGGCCAGGCTGCGGTCAACCAGGCCTCCGCGCTGATCACGGGCATGTGCGGCGCGCGCACATACCCCCGCGCTCGCGTCGAGGCGCTGCTTGCTGAGGCGGAGGCGGAGTACCGCCTGAGCAAGCCGTGGTCGGCGGCCTGCTACGCCGCGACTCAGGACGAGGTCAGGCAGTGGCGCAGCGCCGTGCATGCCGCGGCGCGCGCCGCGCCGCGCGGTGCGGCGGAGCTGCCCGCGGCGCGCGGCGCGGGGGTGTGGGGCTTGCCGGAGGGCAGCAGCGGCGGGATCTGCGACGGCTGCGGGCGGCTGGCGGTGGAGCTGAAGAGGTGCTCGCGCTGCCAAGCCGTCTCCTACTGCGGGTGCGCGCGGGCCGCGGCCGCGCCCCACGCCTGGGGTTCCAGGGGGCCAGCGTAGCGCCTTGAAAGTGCGGGTTGGCGGAGCCGCTCGTAGGGCCTTGTGGTTGTCCAAGCGCGCAGCATCGGATGCATCGCGAGGCCCACTCTCAACCTGGCGGCGGGCTGTTCAGCGTGCAATTGAAACTGGCTTTGTGTTGCACCCTGCAATCCCCCAGCCGCGAGCCCCCGCACCCCTTTGACCAGCTGCCCCCCTACCCCCTTCATGCCACCGCACCTCTCCTCGGCTCTCTGCAGCCGCGAGTGTCAGGTGCGCAGGGCCGCCTCAGCCGAGATTGAACGTGTCAAATTGCGAGGTGCCGCCGTTATCTGTGGTCAGTTGGACGTTCTGGGCTCTGCACCACTGTCGATTTACGCCTCCAACCTGTGCATTTCTGCAGGCGCAAGACTGGAAGCAGGGCGGACACAAGCAGGCGTGCAAGCCGCCGTCGTAGAGAGCCGTCGCGGCTGCTGGCAGGGGCGCCAAAGCGGGCATGCGTGGCACTGATCAAGTATAAAGAGCGATGTTCCATGGATAGCGCGCTGCGGGAGCCAACAACAGGCTCATTTAAAGCGCTGGCGCTGAGCGTGGGTGGTGACGGTATCCGCATGCCTCCGTCCCCTTTTAGCACATCATCAGCTGATACGAGCAAGCAGCCACGAATTCCAGTCTTGGGAATGGGTGTGCAGTGCGCTCTCCTATACGTGTACGTGCAAAGTTGCGCATTATCGCCGTTTCCACTCATGCACATGGTGGATTGGCTGCTTTACTGTTGGTGGGTTTGTCTGTTGACCAGACGGGCCAGCAACTATTGTGCACCACAATACAACCGCTTTTTTTTGGATGGCACAGTTGGCCATCCCGCCCTGCTGCTTGAAACCAACTCCTGGAACCGAAGCTGCCGTCTATACGCCCCTCTCCCTCGGCCAGGTGCGCTAGGCGCGCGCCAAGTCAAAGCCGCCGCGCACGGGCCGTCGTACGCACACATTCTTTGTGCGCACATATTGTGTGGCACAGCTACTGCATTGTCATCATCCTTGGTGCCCACCGCCACCCTCAGCCGGCCGTGCGCTTGGCAGGCCTCCAGGCCCACGCGCATGATGGCCCTACCTGGCCCCAGCCCTGCCAGAGTGGAAACACATGAGTAACTGAATGACTACTGGAGAATGGTGCGCAGGAGGCGCGTTCACACACCCTCTCAGGTGCGCGTGAGTGCATGCACCCACGTTGACGGACGCACACACATACGAACTCTCTCTCTCTCTGTCTCTCTCTCTCTCTCTCTCTCTGTCTCTCTCTGTCTCTCTCTCTCTCTCTCTCTATCTCACACACACAAACACGCACGCACGCACGCTCATACGCACGCACCATGACATCATTTAGACCGTGATTGTCTTTCTGGCGCAACGAATGGTTGCCTGAGAATGAAGCCTCCAGTCAGAAGATGCGCTCTTGTGGACAAATACCGGAGCATTTGCGATGCAATTAAGATATTCCTTTGGGAAACACGCAGCTGCGTGATCGGATACACAGACACATACGCAAGGCGCATTCTCAGCCAATTACATTAGTCATGGGTCTGTTCAGCATTGGGCGCAAAGCTGACCTGTACGCTTTTGAATGGATCTCTCCTTCACATTGCGGGGCTGCATTCGCACAAGTTATGACTTGTCAAACTTACTCGTACCGGGGCGTTTGGGCACCTTGTTATGTGCGGCGGCCCGGGCTGCTCCTTGGACTGAGCTCGACAGAGGTTGTGCGCAAGCCAAGGGTGCGCACACGACTGCGTTTGGCGCGCGCGGGTGTCTTTGAGCAGGGAGCTCTTGCTGAGGCTGTGCGCCTTCGTGAGGCAAGGAGAGATTTCTCAAAGGGAGGGGCATGCAGACCGGCATCAGACGCATGAGGGTGTGGGTTGCTGAGGCCTTGCGCCCCGACCCTATCGCAGCTCAAGCTGTGCATCCAGCTGGTGCACGAAGGGTACCCTGCCATGTTGTGCAAGCTGCCTACATTTTCTGCGCAAGAGAAGTGCGTGGCATGTCCTGGGGGCCGCATGTGGCGCGTTCACAGCAGAGTGCGGGGTCCTGCTGGCCTCGGCAGTGCACAGGGTTGAGCACCAAATCTTGCGGTGGCCACACTTCGTTTGTACTGGGAGTGCTAGCAGCAAATGTTTAGAGCGCTGGCCTACTTGTATCCGGTCACAGAACAGCATGGAGCATCCGTGTCAGATCACGGAAGATTAGCGACAGGATGCAACAGAAGTACAATTCAGGCAGTAGAACAGCAAAAATTGTGAGTGTCATTGCACAATGCTTTGTGGAAGCGGTTGCTGCTGCATGCTTCCTTGCGCATAAGCGCCTAGAGACGCTGTGCGTGCCACTGATCATGATGCATACTCCCAAACTGTGAAGCCATCAGCTCCCGCACTGTGGATCCTGGAGGCCCTGAATTAAGCCCTGGGGCCATGCACATAGGAGCGCGCGGACCACCAGAGGTGAAGCAGCTGCCCGTCAGGAGGCTGTGGGGACCAGGAGTGCAGCGGCGACAGCCGTTCCACGGGCCGCTCTGATGGGGGCTCAATCCCCGTTACGCGTGCTGCGCAGAGACTGTATAAGGATACTGGTTCCGGCACAGGGATGCCTCCCTCCTCCTTTCAGGACCGCGTCACGTTCAAGCTCTACTTCCCCCGGTCAGTGACGTCCACGCAAGCTCTGCTCTCTGTGCACACCCACGAGGCCTCCCACTCCCGCCAGCAGCGCCGTTGAGCCCCCCTTCCTGACACTGCTGCAGCCGGTCACATTCTCGTCTGCAAGCCGTGGCTGCAGCACAATGAACGCAAACCTGGGTCCTCCTGGCACTTGCGCCCCCTCGCGCCCAATCTTCGGCCCCTCATTGCCCGTGCATGCCGGCTGCAGGCCACCGTATGATCCCTATCACGACTTCCCTGCTCTGCCCTTGGGTCGCGGTGCATTCAATTTCACTGGGCTGCTGATCGGCCCCGGGGGTGCCACCGTCAGGCAGCTGAAGTCGGCGTCTGGTGCCCAGATCGTCACGTGCGATGCGGGAGGATACCTTGACAGCAGGTGCGGGGGAAGGTCGGCTCTCTACGACGCTGAGCAGCTTGACAGCATCGCACTTGTGAGGGGCACGCCACAAACACGCGTGTTGACAGGCACCAGGGTGTGCTTGGCGCATGGGTAACCAGCTGTGAGATTGGTGGACCAGGCTGGTGCATGTCTCAGCTGTGCTGCCCGCCTTTCATGTGACGGACGTTCAAAGAAGCATGTTCCAAGTGCCACGCCTTGCCTCCCTCGCACGCCTCGCTTGATCAGGCGACCAGACCCAACTGACCCAGAGCTGCATGCTTTGATTACAGCCGACACCAGCGTAAGCTGTGCGCTGGTGGCTGCTGGGCAGCTGCAGACTGCGACACGGCCGGCAGCTCTGACAGAGGAGGGTGCATATCCGGTGTCAGCGCAGCGGCTCTAGACGCAAGGTGCGCCTGCGCTGTGCACCCCTGCCTCAGTGGTGATTAGTGCCTCTGCTCTCGCCGCACGTATCGCGCATCGCAGGCCAAGGTGCAGAAGGCTGTCAGGTGGGGTGGGGCAGTGATTTTGAACAGATACGCTTTTGATCGGCTGCGCATACGTGCACATTGGGGCACCGTGCTGCCGGCTTTTTCCCCAAATTTGGCAGCGCTCGCCACGGTGGGGAGCGTTGACAGCCTCTTTGCTTTGATAATGCATAGCCGTCGGCACCGACTACCTCTGTTGGCCTGTGCGCCCTTTCATCATGCCCCTGACTCTTGCAGCCGCCCCACTTTCCAATCAACCTCTTGACGCTCAACGCCCTCACATGCCCACGCACTGGCTGACAGCCTTATATCAGAGCTGCTGTGTCCCTCCAACGCGCACTTTGCGCGTGTCATCGTCACTCCTGGCGGCAGCGCCGTCCTGACAGTGGTGGATTCGCCCCCAAGAGGCCCTTCCTCCCCTGCCTTCGGGGCTGCTCCCCAAACGGCGCCGCCGCCGCCGCTGCCTCCGCCGCCGCCGTTGCAAGCAGCCAACCCTGTCGACGGCAGCGCTCCTGGCGCCTGGCCGCAGTTGCCAGGAGGCGGGTGCAGTGGGACCTCACCGCACCTGCCAGCAGCAGCGCCGAACCCCTGGCTCGCCAGCAAGGCACGGGTGACGCGCCCCGCCTCAGCCGGGGCGGGCTCCGTCGCGGCAGCCGCTCCGGCAGCCAGGCCAGTCCGCACAGGGCAGTTGACGGGCCATGATCCAAGCACCAGGTGGAGCGCGAGCAGCAGCGCTTCTCCTGGCACCACTGAGTGGCCCAGCCTCACACTGGCCTCAGACCCGGCCCACCTGGTTGGCGAAAATCGCTTTGCAGCTGTCACGGGCGGCGGTGACAACGTCGGCTTGGTTTCTCAAGGTTCCCGTCAGACGCGTCTCAACGGGGCCAACATGGCCAACGATGGCGGCGGCGGTGGCGGCGGCAGCACAGGCACAACGTCAGGCGCAATGCGTGCTGCATCTGATGTCGCCAGTACCTCGTCGGCCCCTGAACTGCATACTGTGTTTGCCAACCTTGAGGGATTCGCCGGGCACGCCAGCAGCTGCACGACCGGCTCTGGGGCGGCTGGCCAGGGCAGAGGCGGTGTGCGCGCACCGCAGGACGAGAAGACACAGAGGCTGCTGGCGCTGTTTGCCAGCCTGGAGGGGCAGTCGTCTGGCGAGGACGACAAGTCGGGTCCGTGCAGCCCGGCAGGGAAGGTTGGCTGCGACGAGGGCAGCAGGGCCGGCGGGTGGGCAATGGGCGGCGCTCCAGCGGCGACAGAGGCAACACCGGGGGCGGGGGCAGGTGCCGGTGGGGGCGGCCCCGTGACGGCGGCGGCTCCGCCCGTTGGGGCCGGACCCGCCGGGGCCGTGCGGGGCGACTGGGGCACGCAGGAGCTGCCTGAACCTGCGCCGCCGGGCCGCACACTTGACCGCACGGGCAGTGCCGGGTCTGAGACCGAGGAACTGCTCGCCCTGATGATGGGGCTGGGTACTGCGCGTTAGTACAGTGTCTCAAGTTGTTTTGCAGCCTTCATGGTGACTTTGATTGTGGAGTGTCATGGGTCCTTTTGTCCAGGAGACACACGCCTTGCAGGGGTGAAACGTATGTGCAATGCGAGATGTGTCACAGCCGCAGATAGGCTCAACTGCACACCCGCTGTTGCTGTATTTTCGTTGCAACTCACAACGCATGCACAAGCAGGTCCAGTTCATGGCCAGGAAAGCACGCGTGCAAGAGGTGCCCGCAGGCACCACCCATTCCATAAGCCGCTCGCATGAGTTCCGCATCCAAGGTGCTTGCGCCCCGCTTGCTGAGCAACGACAGAGGGGCGCCAGTGGAGGCTGGTCCTGTTGAGAAAACTGTGCAGAGTGGCCGAAGCAAGCTTGCGACAGAAGAGCTCATGCCGTCGTTGATAGGCCACGGCCACACACCAGGTTTGACTGGAAATGATGTGAGGCGTGGTGCATGGCGTGTGGCGTTCACTCGACCTGGCTGGTGCAGCCTCCATGAGGCACCTCTCCTGGGGAGCATGTTGTGTACCGCTGGCCGCATCGCTTTCTCTGCTGGTGACCATCCAGTTGCGTAGATGCACTGATGTATTCCAGGCGGCACAGGCACCCCACTAGCGAAGCAGCCGTCCACCGTGTGCCTCTGACATCCAAACTTGACGTCAGCAGGGTCAACACATGTGCGTGCGAGCGAACGCCGGAGCACCCGCAAATGATCCGAAAGTCACAGAAGGAGAAATTATTTGACATGTTTGTTTGCTCATCCGAGCACATGCTGAGGTCATATTGTGTGCAGTCACCATGAGTACCGTGTTTCCTCTCGGGGTGCTGGTGGCTCCGCTGCCATTTGTTGCGCTCGAGTCCGACTTATACATGCATCTCACCCTTTGTATGCTGAACACCGCTGACCTCTACGCTCTCCGGTTGAGGCCTTGTGTTGAAGCTTGCTGTTGTTTGTGCAGCGGACTGCCGCCAGCGGCACCCACTAGTGCTGAATAGGTGAAGAAGTATCAAAGTGGTGAGCTTCTGACGCGCGTGTGCTGCTTCGCCTGCGTGAGGCCGCAGGCTCGCGATCTCCGAAGTGATCTCCCTGATTGACGCCCTGCGGTTGCCGCCGCCGAGATAGACACTATCGCCTTATATCTACGCAGAATAATCGGCGAACGCAAGAGCAGCAACTGCCCCGCGTGGCGCGCTCCAGCCCACAGCACTGTTTGTGCTGGCACAACACCTTCCCCTGCACATGGGAGCGTGACGCTGACTGCGTCCTGGCAGCTGGGCTGTACGTTTCTTGCAACGCTGACGGTGCATTGTAAGTGACGGTTGAGGGCGAGTTGATGAACCCAAACAGCCCGGCTGCCGGGCAAGGCCACATCTCGGCTCAGCAGCAGCAGCAGCAGCAGCAGCAGCAGCTGCAATCGGGCCAGACGCCACCACAGCAGTACCAGCAGCTAGGTCAAGGCCTCGTGACAGGACCATTGCCGCAGCAGCAGCAGTCGGCGGGCCAGGGCGTGCCGCTGCCACAGAACCCCAGCCTTGGTCAAGGGTTGACCATGCATCATGGCTCGCTGCCTTTGGACTCCTTCAACCCACTGACCCTGCCCAAGGCCCGGACGCCGGGGCTGAGCGGTGACGGAAACAGCCTGCCGCGTGTGCCGTCGCTGCAGGGCAGCGGCTTCCTCAGTGGCGGCCCGAGCGGCAGCGGGACTGGCAGCGTGGGCAGCTTGGGTGGCGGCGGTCTGGGCGGGGGGCTGGGCGGCTTTGGCGGCGCTGGCGGTTTTGAGAGCGGGCTGCAAGGCTTGCAGGGCAGTAGCAACAGCTTGCAGCAGCTGCAGCAGCAGCAGCAGCAGCAGCAGGTCCCGCAGCAGCTAGCTCAGCTGCAGCTAGCTCAGCTGCAGCAGGCACACCACCAGGCGCAGCAGCAGCAGCAACAGCAGCAGCAGCAACAGCAGCAGCAGCAACAGCAGCAGCAGCAGCAGCAGCAGGCACAGGCACAGCAGCAGCAGCAGACTACGCAGCAGATTTTGAACAATGCTGGTCTGAATACCAGTGGGCTTACTGCAATGCAGATGCAGCAGTTGCAGCAGCACCGTCTGCAGCAACAGCAGCTCCAGCAGCTTCAACAGCAACAGCTGCAGCAGCAGCTCCAGCAGCAACAGACGCAGCGTCAACAGCAGCAGCTGCAACAGCAGCTCGCGCAGCAGCAGCTGCAGCACCAACTGGCGCAGCAGCAGCAGCAGCGCCAAAACCAGCAGCGCCAACAGCAGCAGCTGCAGCAGCAGCTCTCACAGCAGCAGCAACAGCAGCAGCAGCAGCAGCAACAGCAGCAGCAGCAGCAGCAGCAGCAGCAGCAGCAGCAGCAGCAGCAGCAGCAGATCTTGCAGCAGCAAGAACTACAGCAACAGCTCAAGGCTGCAGGGCTGGCGGGACTCAGCAGCAACCTGTCTGCACAACAAATGTTCATCCTCAATCGCAACGCGCAAGCCAGCTCCATCGGCGGCGCTGCTGCCATCGCAGGCCTGCTGCCCCCAAACGGCCAGCTGCTGCAGAACAACATTGCGGCCGCCGCCGCTGCCGCCAACCCGACGCTGGCGGCGAACATGGTGCAGCAACGCCAGGCGCAGCTGTTTGCTGCCAACGGGCTCATGGCTGGCCTGCAGCAGCAGCAGCAGCTTCAGCAGTTCCAGCAGCAGCTGCTCCAGCAGCAGCTGCTCAAGGGCCTCCCCACCAGCCAGGCGCTGCAGCAGGCGTTTGGCGCCGCCGCCGACCCGCTGTCGCTCCAGGGGGGCGCGAGCATGCAGTTTCAGGGCCTGCAGCAGCAGCAGTCCAACGCCGCGCTGCTGCAAAACCTGGCGCGCCAGCAGGCGGTGGCGCGGGAAAGGGAGCGTGCAGTGCAGCAGCTGCGCGACAGCCAGGCCGCGGCGGCCGCGGCCCTGCAGCGCGAGCAGCAGCATGCCAAGATTGTAGCGCAGCAGCACGCGGCGCTCGCGGCTGCGGGCATCAATGTGGGGGGCGGCCAGCAGGGGCTCAGCCACGCCGCGCTCCTGGCCGCGCTGCGCAACTCGCAGGTCGCCGCAGCGGCGGCGGCGCAGCAGCAGCAACAGCAGCAGCAGCTGCAGCAGCAGCAGCAGCAGCAGCAGCAGCAGCAGCAGCAGCAGCAGCAGGCTGCCGCGGCGCATGCTGCAGCGAATAACATGTACCTGCAAAAGGCGCTTATAGCACAGGCTCAGGCGCAGGCACAGGCGCAGGCACAGGCGGGCGCCGCCAAAGCGGCCGGCGCGCAGGCGGCGCATCTCATGGCGCAGAAACATATGGGCCTGGGCGGCATGCCCAGCGGCGGCGGCGGCGGCGCGTTTGGGCTAGGGGCGGGAGGCGCGCAGGGCGCCGGGTTTGAGCCTGCGCGCAACGTTGGCGTGATTGGGCAGGACAGGGGGAGGCGGCCGTCAGC